CACACACACACACACATATATATATATATATATATATATATATATATATATATATACGTCTATGCATATGCATACCATGTAGGGGCATCCAAAATGTCGAATCTTCCTCGTCCCTGGCGATGATAAGCGTTGTGTCTTGGAGTCTCAGACCTCACAACCCACCCATGGCCGTGGCTACTCTGTGTCGGTCTAATTACGGCTGTAATTGCATACAGTCTATTGCAATAGTTTGAAGCGTATCTCGTCCACTGCTTTGAAGACCCGATGTGTTCATCACGCGAAGTGTTTATTCGAACACCACAAGCCAATGTGTTATGAGCTGTACACCGTTACAATACAATGATGGGGTTGGTTAGCCTATTGCAGTGCCACCTGCCCTGTAGGAACGTATGCGCTTGCTATGGGTGCCCCTGCCGTGATGTTATCTGGAAGGACAACATGATAGTTGAATAGGTCAGTCTACTATGACATCATACCATGTCAGGAAAACGGATGCTAAACGTGGTGGTATGCTGCTGAAAGGATGTAGAGGGAAACGCACAGTCTGCGAGACCTCAAATCCGCAAGGCGATCGCCTTAGTGGCAGGATGTACTTGTGTTTGATTACTACTTAGTAGCAAGATGTACTTGTGTTTGATTGCTGCTTAGTAGCAGGATGTACTTGTGTTTGATCGTTGCTTTGTAGCAGGATATACTTGTGTTTGATTGCTGCTTAGTAGCAGGATGTACTTGTGTTTGATTGCTGCTTGGTAGCAGGATATACTTGTGTTTGATTGCTGCTTAGTAGCAGGATGTACTTGTGTCTGTGCCACTGGACGCTGTTTAAAACAACTCCCTGCGGGTATGCGCCATCCTACGGGTTAGCAGGTTTCCTGTGTCAGGTAGCTTCAGGGCAAACTATGTGCGGCGATGTACAAGCAGGCTGGGGTAGTCTGGTACACAATTGCCCAAGCACTACTCGAGTCTGACTGCGAAAAGTCCCGATCCCTTATACAACTTATCAAATTCAAACACCGTCTAGTATCTGAAATACATCTATAGGCGCGTCTGAGTTTATCAAGATTTTAACATTAGTTAGACTTTAACATTAGTTAGATTTTAACATTCGTCAGATTTTAACATCAGCTAGATTTCAACATTTGTTAGAATTAACATGAAGTATTTGCTAATCTGAGGACACCTACTGGATACTTCGCTCGCCAGAGTATTCACAGTGCCGTCTCTCGCAGACTTCCTCCCAGCTATTTTAGTCCGTAATCATTGGCTGTGTACATATCATATTACATCTGCCAGCTTGTGTGTAGCTACATCTCCACGTGTCTGGTGGTGTAAACGGCATGTGACGGCGTGTGGTCATGAGGAGAATTCCCAGCTATCCCAGTTCATAGTCCACAAGGCCTTTTGCTTATCAGATCTGATCCCAACATGTACCAATCCTTTCAACGCCTCCCTGGTGCGTCAGTCAAGGGGTTTGATGGTCACTCGCTGGCGTGTGTATCAACACTATCACGCCAGAGCATTCACCATGCTATACCTGAGATACCACTCGTAGTATGTAACGATTTCGTTTTACTCTTCTCGGTGGTTCTCGGGTTCAGTCAGCCGTAGGGCTCCGACTTCCAGAAGATCGACGTTTGTATCGGACGCCTCAGTAGCGTTAAAGAAGTGCCGTTGTGTCTTTAACGCAAACAACAAATCGGGAAAGATGGCAGCAGCCGCAGACGTAGTAGGAGATATACTGTATCACTACTAGATTGGATACAGGTGTGTACAATATGTATACAACCCATGTTGTGTGCCATATTGTGCCTTTGTGGTGGCACCTTCTCGCTACCTCTTTCTTACCTTCCAGACTTATTGAGTCATTTATATGTGCAAAGGAGCGCGCTTGTGATAAAATTGCTTCAACATATATATATCTCGCGCGAATAAGATGGTCAAATCCACTCACTCATATCTCCGCATAAAAATAAAAATAAAATAAAACGATACTA